GTGGAGAACTGACACACCCCACTTCTGTGTTCACATCAGTTTTGTAGCTGCCCCGGTCACTTGTGAGGAACATATAACGAGGAAACCATGATTCCTGTTTCGGCGCCTTGTAAGCGAAATACGAGCTCTTGCTTGGTGAACCAATGTGCGTGTGTGTGTGTGTGGGGGGGGGGGGGGGGGGGGTGTGGAGGGGAGGGGTCTTGGCAAGGCAGGACTTCTTGAACCTGATTGCACTTGGACTTCGCATGCAGGGCGCTCATGTTACAGGGGAGCCAAGGAGGAGATTTACGTTTGCCGCGGGGTATACGTGGTTCACGATGGCTCTCGCTGTCAGCAGCTGGTAAGATATTTCAGCTCGCGTTTATCGCAGGGCAAACATACACATCCTCCTTGACTCTGGGATAACGTAAGCGCCCCGCACCCCTGTGCCTGAGGCGTCGTTCCTCAATTCTTTACAGTTCTAATAAACGAGACTCGAGTAGTCTTCAGATTACCTCTGGCACGAACAGTTGTCCATGCGCTTCTTTCCTTACGTTTAAAAACGTAACAGCGACCTAAAGATGACGGCTCGTCAAAGCTTCCCCTTGAAGGAGATTTGGAGAATCCACTGAACTCTGAGCGCATCAAGGTGGATTACTGCGACAGCTCAGACTCTTTTGGAATGCACGGGGACAGAATTGGTGTCAGCGCGTCAGTGATGTCATCTGGACACCTGTGAGTTTGTGTGTGTATGCCCAGCAAATGCACAGAGGCGGAGCTTCACTGCACGTGAACCTGGACTCTGCTTGGTTCGTGGCCACTGGCGTTGGTCATCAGCGGGGGAACTCCTCGATCGCAACAGCGTTGCGAAACCTTCGGGCTTCAGATGGTTCGGCGGCACAGACGAAGCAGCGGAAGAAGCGACAGACGTCGCTGGGATAAGTGAGCTCATAGCTCACTCAGATTCTTTTTGCGCCAATTACCTCCAAGAAGATATCTTCCAACAAAATTTTTGCGGTGTCAAGCTCCTAGATGTTGAATAACTGCAGAAGCTGCTACCAGGATGTGGTAATTTGCAGGATACAGACCAGGTCTGCCAGCACTGCTTTGGGCACCTGAAGGCGCTCCTGTCCTGATCTGGAGGCACACCTGATGAAACCAACAAGACATTTCTTCAGGAAGAAGAGCTAATATCCTCACCTGCCGGCACACCTGAAAAAAACCAATGAGGCATTTCTTCAGGAGGAAGCAGCAATCAATGACCTCACCAGATATATCTAACTTTCCAAAGTTTCTCCATTGAAGCCAGCATTTTTCTTTTGGAAAGAGCTCAAAAACTTTTATGGTAAGAAAAAACAGGCAGAGATTGAAAAGGAAGTGTTGGCAAAAATAGCTCAAGTTTAAGTACATAGGCAGTAAACTTGAGCATTCTTTTGTCGACACTTCCTTTTCAATCTCTGCTTGTTTTCACTCCCCGTAAGATTTTTTGAGCCCTTTCCAAATGAAAGATGCTGGCTTCAACAGAGAAAATTTGGAAAGTTGGTTGTATCTGGTCAGGTCATTGACTGCTTACTCTTCCTAAAGAAATGTCTCGTCGGTTTCTTCGTTTGTGCCGGCAGATGAGGATATTAGCTTTTTATCTTCCTGAAGAAATGTCTTGTTGGTTTCATCAGATGTGCCGGCAGATGAGGATGGGAATGCCTTCAGGCGCCCAAAGCAGTGCTGGTGACCTGGTCTGTATCCTGCAAATTACAGTCGAATATCGTTAATTCAAACTGGAGGGGGACCGAAAATTTGTTTGAGTAAAGCAAAGTTTGACTTCCCAGGAGTTTTCTCCCATAGAGACGCATACGATGGGACCTGCATGTTAGTTTGAATTATCTGCAAGTTTGAATTAAGAAAGTTTGAATTCACGAGATTCGACAGTACCAGATCCTGGTAGCAGCTTCCGCAGCGATTCAAGATCTAGGAGCTTGACACTGGGAAAATTTCTGTTGGAAGCTATCTTCTCCTTGTGAATGCGGAGGTAATTGGCGCAAAAAGAATCTGAGTGAGCTACGAGCTGCGTGCATTGCATGCACGACGGCGACGTCTGTCGCTTCTCCCGTTGCTTCGTCCGCGCCGCTAAGCCAACTGGAGCCCGAAGGGTTCGCAACGCTGTTGCGGCCGAGGAGTTCCCCCTCTGACGACCAACACAAGTCGCCACGAACCAAGCAAAGTCAAGGTTCATGTGCAGTGAAGCTCCGCCTCTGTGCCTTTCCTGGGCATACACACATACACAAACTCACAGCTGTCCAGATAACATCACTGACGCGCCGACACCAATTCTGCCACCGCACGTTCCAAAAGAGTCTCGCTGAACTGTCACAGTAATCCACCTTGATGCACTCAAAGTTCAGTCGATTCTCTAATTCTCCTTCAAGGGGAAGCGTTGACAAGCCGCCATCTTTAGGTCGCTGTTACGTTTTTAGACGTAAGGAAAGAAGTGCATGAACAACTGTTTGTGCCGGAGTTAGGCTAAAGAAAACTTGAGTCTTGTTTATTAGAACTGTAGAGAATTAAGGAACGACACCTCAGGTACAGGGGTTTGGGGCGCTTACCCCCAGAGCCAAGGAGGATGTGTATGTTTGCCCCGCGATAAACGCGAGCTCAAAGATCTTACCAGCTCCTGACAGCACTAACGACTGCGAAAACCGGCGTAGCAAATGTAAACCTCCTCCTTGGCCTTGCTGTAACATATGCGCCCTGTACCCTTGCATTCGAGGTGTCATTCCTTTATTATCTACAGTTTAAATAAACGAGACATGCGAAGTCCAAGTGCAATCAAGTTCAAGAAGTCCTGCATCACAAACACAAACACACACACTGGTCCACGGAGTAGGAGCTCGCATTTCGCTTACGAGGGGCCAAAACAGGAATCATTGTTTCCTGTTTGTATGCTCCTCACAAAAGCCCTGGGCAGCTACAAAACTGATGCAAACATAAAAGTGGGATATGCTGGTTCTCCATCAGAGCGTAAACTTTCATGAACTCCCGTAGACAGTCACAAGCAAAAGAAAATCTGGAACGATATCTTCTTTGACAGCAAGCTACAACACAAAAATTTCTTATTCGTGGAAAAAAAAAAATGTTGCTTCTTCCTAAAAAAAAATTAATAAATACCAGCAGCGAGGAGAAACGAAAGATGCCTGGTCAAGACACTTCGCAACCACCACTTTTACAGGTTAGAACTTTTTTACCAAGCAAATGGTGCAACATGTTTGCGTACATTATTTTGCCTGGCCTAAGGAGAATTGTACCCCAAAGTTTTAATGAAATCGAGACCAGGTTTTTCTTCATTGTGGTTGTTTTCCAACGCAGCGGAGGGACGCACGCACGTGAACGACACGTGCGTGCGTCCCTCCGTCGCTATGGCAACTGAAGCCTCTCTCTTCGCTTCTCCCCGCTTCTTCGAGCAACCTCCTTGCCCCGCGAGTATTGCTTGCGGCTTGCGCCGTTATCTAGTGTCGCACAGGGAAGTGTGCTCTCTGCATCGGTCAGTCGGCGCGGTCGCCGGGCTGTTCGTAAAACCGCACTATAACCGGTATATCCCTTCGCGTGCCTGCATTTTAAGCGGTATGTAAATACATGGAGTTCCATGGGAGGCGAACCGGTGGTTTAAAAAAGCCGCGTTATACCCGGTCCTGCACTATAAGCGGTTACGTTGTAAGTGGTCTATACTATATGTTTCTTTTAATGCTTCACATAAAACATATCAATGAGGTTCTACTATCTTAGACATTTGCGGTAATGATTTGGAAAACACTTGAGTTATACAATCGACTCTCGGTAATTCGAAGCTCAAGGGGACAGCAAAATGCTTTAATTAAACATAATTCCCATTAGAAAACAACCCACTCAAACCGTACATACTCCCTGGGAGAAGTTGATTTTTGCTTGCCTCCGCTAACAGAGGAGCAGTATCCCACTAACAAAGGCACGCAGTATTCTCTGAAAATTGCAAGCCTTTCTTAGAATGGAAAATTGCACTTTGTAGTGCTACAAGGGGTTTCCACGGCAGTGGCACTCAGTCACACGGCAAGGAAAGCGACGCGATCGTTCCTAGGCCTAACCACCTGCACAATGTCACTGCTCGAAAGCGAACTACAGACCATGGCATGTTTGTTGACATCAATATATTTGGTGGACAAAATGTCTCATAGAACTTGGTGATGCCTTAAACCAAGCTTTGTTGGCCGCACGCGCTGTGCAGCTGTGCTTGCTTCCGTAATTTCTGTGGGAAAGATGCCATGACACACGCCCGAAGCCATACTGGCTTGGCTGTTTAATTGCAGTGACCGCCTGGCAGCTTGTTCGCGTGCAAGGCTCATTTCTTCTTTTTCCCAACTGCGCACACATTAGATAAAAGCAATGAAGTGTGCACGGGTTACATTTAAGCTTGCTCAGCATAATCACGAGGCTTTTTTATGCTCCTAGAGTTGCCAGACCTCTCGAGCAAGTAAAAAGATCTTTCGAATTAACCGGTCCCAGAGTTTAAACTTCAAATAACCGTGCATATTTTCCTATAGCCTCGTATGTTTAACTGCCAAGACAGCGCCCTTGCTTCAAACTAACTGAAAATTCAAATAAAGCGACTTTAAATTACCGAGAGTTTACTGAATTTGAACTGGAGTATTTTTGCACCAGCAAACAAAAACAATGCTAAAGTTAGCTTTTAAAAATTTTATGTCAACAAGAACACAAGCAATGTGGAGTGGCTTGGATGGATGTAGAAGTTCCACTTTGCAACCATCTAGTATGGCAAAGCATGCAGCTGACAATTATCTCACTGAAGAGACAATCATAAAACAATTCACTAAAGTGAAAACAGTGGATAAAAAGTCACAGCTGGACAGCTTCCTTCACTCAGTTATTTATAGGCACAATAAAACATTGACATAGCAGGTCACACTAAAGTGTAACACCAAGTAATATGGTCGATCATGACAAAAAAAAACGTTGGAAAATACAGTTATGCTCACCTGGCAGTGGCAGGTTGCAGAAGCTTGTGGTAAGGGTAGATCTCAAGCCGGTGAGGTGCTGCTGCAAGGCCAGATTGTTGTTCTTTTGCTGCACGGTTTCCACCTCGAGCTTCTCTATGGCTGCCTTCATGGTATCAATGTGCTTGCTGAGGATGGCATTCTGCTCCTCGTACTCTGTGTTTGACTTGCGCAGTTGTCTTAGCTCTGCCTCACAGACTGTCGGTATGAAGCAAAACAAACAGCAGGTTATTTCGCAAGGCAGGCACAAAGAGCCAATGAGAAATTTGTTTATAATTGGCTGAAGTTTTCATAGATTTGCATACCATAAAATGCCAAACAAATGCCTGTATAACAAAAAGAAAGTTAGTCATATAATTCAGGTGAGCTTTATTGAAAATAAAAATGGCACACTTCCGATAAAATGCCCAATCCTTTCAATCCTAATGTGACCAAACTGCTTAAATAAAATGGCCCGTCAAAGTTTTGAAAAAATCTGAAGTGGCACAAGACAGCTGCAGGTTAGCTCTTGAACAATAAACACCTATTGCACAGTGAAGCCTTGCTACCTTGCATGGTATCTACAGATGCCAATTTAAAGGTCCAGGCAAAACTCACTTAGAGCTCATTTCTTTAGTATGTGCCTCCACTGATTGTTACTTAAGCAGGGTGTCTAGCAAATTATTGTTATGAATTTCCCTGGCTTTTCCAGGTTTCCCCTGAAAATTTCAGGTGAAATTCCCTGATTACTGTAGAGGCAGGTAAATATATAAGACCATTACGACACAAGGCATTGAGCATTGAGCACTGTGAGGATCATTTTTCATGGGCTTAATCCAACATGCATATTCCGAAATATTCGGGTTCGTCCAGTCCGGATTAAGCTAGCACTTTCTTGCCGCTGACATCGTCAGTGAAGAGGCCACTTCCGGAAACACAATGAAAACACGACACTCAACCACACACGTCAATAACCGAATGGCAGCGTGGCGGCAGATGCACACTTTTGGATACTTTTGGCTTAAGGCTTGGATTGGATTGGATTCGGGTAGCACATTCTACATCGGGTGAGCAGAGTCCACGCTCCACTCTAAGCAGAATTTGTTGCCTATTTTTCTGCCCCCAAGTCCTCAAGTCTTTGCTCAGGGCACTCAATGGCATTTCCGTCTCATTTTTCCTGACTGGGCTCGCTTTTTGACAATATCCCTGACAATTCCCCGATTTTTCTTGGTAATTAAAATTTCCCTGACGATTCCCGGTTTTCCCTGTCGCTAGACACCCTGCTTATGTCAAAGGAGCAGGGCAGAGGGATGTGCCAGCTCACTTTAAAAGCAACTTCAAGTAAAACATGAGACCAGCATGTCAAAGGACGTTCTGGCCAGGTGAAATACGAGGTGTGAAAATTTAATTGCTTAATTGCCGGAAGGGCCACAGCTGTCATGCTGGGGCACTACAAAAACAGATCTGGACATGTTCGACTTGTGCTTATCTGAGACACAGACAAAGTAAACCATTTGCTGCTTAGCAACAGAGGAAGTTGCACATGTTTGTGAAACACTGTTGGCCATAGAGCAGTGAATTGACATCAAGTTTTGTGTGAAGATTGGTAAAAGTGCCAGTAAATTGTAGGCCCTATTAACAATGGCATATGGTGAACATGCTATAAATAAATTGAGTGCTTTTAAGTGGCATAAGAGGTTCAAGAAAGGCCGAGAAAATATGCACGACGACGTAAGGAGTGGATAGCTCTCGACCGAAAAAGCATACATGTCTCACCCGCAGTTCAAGACCATGTTTGTGGGCTTTATTCTATCACGAAGGAATAGTTTACCACAAATTTTTTGAACAAGGACAAATGGTCAATCAACACATTATTTGAAATGGCTGACATGGTTACGGGAATCAGTTCAAAGGAACAGATAAAAACTCTGGCCTGACAAGTGGATTCTTCCTCATACAATGAACTTTCTCATGATGCATTAAGAGCTTGCAAGCCTCTAGCTAAGAAATCCATTAAAAAAATCAACAATCTGCCCCATTCACCCGACTTAGCCCCCCAAGTTTTGGAGTTATCCAAAATTTAAAAAATGCCCCAAAACGAGGAAGATTTGTGGGCATTCCTGACATCTAGCACAATGCGACAATGTTACCTCAAGGTATACCAGAAAACTAACTCTAAGGATGTTTCCGGCAATGACACCATCTTCTCACGAAGTATGTAGCTTCACAAGGAGAGTACTCAACAAATGGACGCAGCTGCTAGTGTACAGATGAGCAAACTGCTCTCACTTTGCTGAGAGCTATGTCTTGCAGTAAACGAGGCAAGCGAAAAACACGATTTTTCGAGCTCTGTAGTTTTTTTATTTATAAACATGCTCTGCTGTTTTCAACAGCAGAGCATGAATATAATTGATAAAAATTAAAGACGTCGCCGGCTGTTAAAATTAATTGAGGAGACAGCGAAAACTATCGGCGGCTGCACAGATCGCCAAAGTAATTTGGCGGGGAGTTGCCTGTCGTAAAGCTACGTCACCATTCCAAAGACACGGACGATGTAGGAAAAGAGGTCGAGGAATTGCCTTAACTGAAATAAATGATCTGTCACTGCTTGCTCATGAAATGGCATGTGCACTTTAGAAGTCGTAAAATTCAGGGAATTTAAAGACGCATCTGCTGATAATTAAGAATATCTTGTCAGTCTATCCTGCAACGAAGATACTGGCTCTCAATGCAATGTCCACTCAAAGCGAGACCTTTGGATGGGGCCACCCAGAAAAACAATATAGTTCCTTTGTCAAATGCTCGACCCATACCATTCTCCCTTCTATCTTCTCTGAACCCCCCCCCTTATTTCCTCTCTTTCTTCACCCAGGCCATTGTCCCAGCCAATGAGGTCGGCGGAATATTTCTTCTAGCTGCCAGTTGCAAAGATGTTTTGTCCTGTCCTCGTTCTATAGAGTATATTGCTTTACTTTTACCCCTGAAATGGAAAATCGGCGTGTCTAACAAGCCCCCCGAAGGGGAAAAGGAGAAGTGCGTGGGCCCCGTAGCCAACTGAAGTTAAACCGACTATGATTGGCTAGAACAGGAAGAGGGCAATCTTGGTGCGTGACATTAACAGCCTCTGAATTCGCTGATTTGGACGGATCCCTGTCAACGAGCTCGGAGCTATGCAGATGTCGTTGAATTTCTTCTCTCCATCCGACTTCTTTTTTATCGCTATCTCGTTCTCTTTCTCCTTCTCCGTATCTCTCTCTTGCCCTCTTTGTATGTCCCTCTCTTTCTTGATTTTCGCATTCTCTCTAGATCGTTCTTTCAGGCCCATCGAAGCACTAAAATTTCTTAAGCACCGATGCCGTTCACTCGCTGCAACTTTTTGCCGAGCTTGATTGCTGCTGAGAAAATCTGAGGGTCCAAGATGAGTTAACCACCGAAAGCTGCTTGAAGCAACAGTTAAATATGATGCTTACCTGCTTCTCAAAAAAAGTCAAGGTTTGGATTCAACAACACCGAAATGTGCAATTCCAAGCATCCGTGAACCGGTGATTCAGCAGATGCTATCGTCTCCAGCAGACTCATCTGATCAATCCGTCAGTGACGAGCCTTTTCCTATCCTTGAAGCCACTCATCCAAATGATCACGGCATCTACGCCGGCAAGTCGGTAAGTGGGACTACTTCGAAGTCATTACCCTTCCGTTGCCAAAACTAGTGCGCTGAATTCATCAGATTAGATTACACTTTATAATTATTTAAGAATAATTATAACATGTTTTCAATGTTTTCTCGTCCTTCCTGCTGAGTATTTAGGTCAATGATTTTATTAATTTTCAAATAATTACATTACTAAATTATTTTTTTCTTTTTTTCAGGATTACTCAAATTATTTTTGTTTCTAGATAGCAGAGTTTTCTTCTCACACACGATAGGGAGGCGCGGCCGTGCGGCAGTACAGCACCGGGAAAACACGTGGTTGGCTCTGACAGCTCGCACTAGGTCGCAGGAGCCGAATCTTTTGTCGTCTGCCAAGTTACGTAAAGCGGGGGGTACGATAAACAACTTGGTGTTCATAAGGACTTATGTTTCGCCGATTTCGCAATTTGAAAATAACCACAAACAGTTTGTCCCGCGAACTATTCACCCCATGGTAGAGACTACATCACGGATCAGGAAAATTTGTGCCGGTGAAATAATTTCGAAATTGGTTAATTTCCTAGTTGAACATGCAGCACGGCAATCTCAACACAGCACGTCAAAGATTGTTTAATCGCAAGTTATAACTTGGAAATAAATAAATACAAAAATTTGCATAGTTTTCCTGACCCTCCTCACCCTCCTGGGGCCCGCCGCAGATCAGTTATCAAGTTTTCCAGAACCCCCCCCCCCCCCCCCAAAAGTGAAAAGCCTGAGGGCGCTAATAGTGTGGCTACTATTTATTTTTTTTATTTTTATTTCACAATACTGCAGACCCCATAGGGCCCAGGCACGGGTGGAGAAAAAAAAAAATAAAAAGAAAGCGATGGCAGAAACACAAACAAACACATTTTCAACACAACACTGATACTAAATAGCATATATCATCAGAACCTCGCAAGAAAATACATTATGGGTAAGGCTATCAACAGTGTCTTTTTCTAAGCAATTCCATTCTATTATGGTCATAGGAAAAAACAAATTTTTAAAAATACTGTTTGCACTTTGGTATGGCTCTAAAGAATACCATGATTAAAGTGTGTATTTTGGCGTGTGAATATGGTAAGACAATCTGTGTAGCATTAACAGACTCACAAAGTTCTACGGTGCTGCAAAGGGGGGATGTTAAGTTTTCCTTTCATTGCCGAGACGCTGCTTTCTCGTTTGAAGTCTTGGAGCATAAAGCATGCATCTTTGTTCTGTACAGACTCAAGCATATCTATTAGGAAAGGCTCATGAGGGGCCTACACTGACAAAGCGAATTCCAGCTGTGATTTGACAATGATGTTATACGCACATTGTGTCCTGAGAAGCAAATTTTAAATGCCGTTTAAGTTATTGATCTGTTTCCTTTGGTGACTATGCTCTTCATCCGTGTTTCCCATGTAAGCTTAGGTATCAAAAATATGCCGTCATTTTAAATTCGTAACTTTGTCTATTTCGCTGTCGTAGAATCGAGAACTTCATTAGTTTTTATTAGGGGTGTACGAATACTGAATAGTAGCTTTCAAATCGAATACCGAATCAA